TCCCACCATAATTCCTAAACGAATACAGGTAATATCTCCTGCGTATTATTTACTTGTGTCTCCTTTACCAGGTGTGCTTTAAGACAAATCTGGTGTTAAGAAACCTGAAGCATTACCGAATTCCAGAAATTCTTCTGTCTCCAATGGAATACCAGCAAGCAAGACCACTCATAATATATGGCCAAACTCAATGATACAGAAACAATAGGCAAATACTGAAGATCAAATCTTACACTTCTCTGAAATACATAATTCTTCCACACATCTAGACCAAATTTGGCAACACTCCTAACCTAACAAATTGTGAGAACACGTGTGAGATATGCTTGATTTAATTCAGAGAGCACCAGTAACTTTGTGTATACAAGGCCATTCCAGAGAAGACAAGAAAGATGGTTCATCGAGTCTGAAGAATTTTTCTGCTGGCTCTGGACAACTTCTTTTCTGGACAGTCAGGTGGACAACAAGTGAAACAGTATGAAGAGCACAAGGATTGCTAGTGTAAAATACATCATAGCTCATACAATAAAACTGAACATTTATTTTATTCCATTATAGGAAGGTGGGTCATATCAATCATGTCCCCTCCATCAAATTGTGTTGTGAAAAGGAAAACCACCCTCTGAACAGCTGGCTTGCAGATAACATACTGTAGGAAATCCTATTGTTGATACATCCTGTTGTTCTTTGACTCTGGTATACAAAGAAGAGTCATTTTTCTGTATTTTTCAAAATTCAAGAAAAAATAGTTTAGAAATCCCACATCATTTTTTTTCTAAACTTCTCATCAAATCAAAATGATAAATTTGGTGGAGATGACTTGATGGTGATCATTAAGAGACCAAAATGGGATTTGTGTGACCATCATGTGTGATTTAAGAGACAATTTGATATTAAAAAGGAAGGAGGCCGAAGAACTAAAAACTAAAAAAAAATCCATTCTTTATCTATGAAATTCGTTGAACGACCTGTCAAATGTTTGGTTACTCAGTGCTCAGTCAGTGGTCGCATCCTCTTATCTTGTGTGTGTGTGAGTTGTGGAAAGGGGGTGATCCAAGTCCACAGGATCCAGGATTTATAATGGATTAGTGAATCTATCAATTAGATGTTCAGCTCCTATCTCAGCCCTGCAGAGGATGTCCCAGTGGGGCAGAGATAAAAGTGACCACAGTTCCTGATACATGACTTCCTACTGTGCACCACTGCTCATGTTACTGCCCTGGGGGATGGAGTACAGACATGACAGATCAGAGCTGGATTGAGCTAGCCTCTACCAGGCTTCAGGGGGAGGGAGAAAGAGTAGAAATTGGCCCAATTGTCAGATAACATCCAGGGGAGTCCACTAAAGGAGTACAGTGTCAACAGTCTATTTGGCCAATTTCTATTCTTTCCAGCCATGTACATTTTATATAATAATTTATCTACTCACCACAGTTTATCTAACAGCGAAAATAAATTCAGTCCAGTCCTTGACCTGAGTGTAACCACATGTTTTGCTTGAGGCTGTTGCCTGGGCTTCCTTGTTGTTTTAAGGAACAAATGACTTTCTAAGAGGCTAGATAATATATGCAATATGATAATTTATTGACAGGACAGCTGTCCTTACAGCTGCGTTTCCTTAAAATTTGGTACTCTTTAAATCTTGATTAAAATTTTCTTGCAGCTCTAAAGGTCCAATTAAATGTAGTGACAAATGTAATGAAATACTTATAACATGTTTCCCACTGCTGGAGTATGCGAAATAGTTAAGTTAATTTTTTTTTTTTTACAAGCAAGCAAGAATGCTGCTTACGTTTATATGGCATTGTAAATATTCATGTTCAAACATTCCTTACAACACTCAATAAACTCATTACGTGTACTGCAAAGTGCAAACATTCATGCCTGGTCTTTCTACTGGAATTTCAGAAGAAATCGAAAATGTAGATGAAGCACTCGGGCAAAAAGGGATAGCCGGCTAAGAAAAAAACACTTGCAAATTTTCCAAAACCATAAAATGTTATTTCCTGAAATGACAAAATATATAACCTTACGGAGCTCTTGTTTGGCGATTGATACAGGTCATTTAACGTGTTGTAATCAAATCCTATTGACAAGTAATCACCAATAATTGAACAAACAGACAACAAAGGACCGAGTATCACCCTGCTGGCTCGAGGTAATGAGCCATTTATCGGCACATTTCCATAAAACTTGCACTCCGAAAAAAACAACCCCAGTCAATTCAGTATGCTGCTAGCTGCTATGGCCGTATGACAGCGTTTTTGTACTGCTGTAGCTAAATAATTCAAACGAAATGCTATGAGTAAGTTAGGACCGTGACATTTCTTATCACTTTTGACCAAAACACGCCTTTTTTGGAGGGTTGTCGCTGGATAGTTTTGAAGCCCAGCTGTGGAGTGTGGAGGTTTAGGCTGTGACAGCCGCTCGCGCACATGGTCAGAAATCGGCTTTCAAAACAGCAGTGTTATATCAAAGTCAACAGAACACTATTCAGATCGAAAAACCGTCATGTAATACATGGAAAATAGTTGTCACACCTTATTTTTCACACTGCCACGTCCTGGAGTGCCTCTGAGAGAGTCTTCCTCGTCGCTGGAGAACTCGCCTTTGCCTGGCGTCCCCCTCCCACCTTTCAGCAGATGTTCCCTGTACAGTTCCACGTACACGTCTTTCCTCTGGTCCCCGCTCGGCAGAGAGACTCCGGCCTCACGAAGTTCCCGCTTCAGCTGGTCTTTAGTCAAAACAGAGGGGTTTGACACAGACATTTCTGGCGATCCGGCGGGAAAAGTGCCAAAAACACGTCAACAAAAAAAGATTGGCCACAAAATGAGTGGTCCCGCGGGATTATCGACAGGCTTGTACATACGCTTTCTCTGATTGGACATTTCGAAGAACCCGCGAACATGTTCGGTAAAATGAGCCAATCAAACATCACAATGTAAACAGATCACATTTCAAAATCCCGCGCAAGCGTATCGTTACTATGACCCTTGACCCATTTTGGCGGGAGAAAACTTTGCTACAAAAAAACAACAAACGGGAGAAAGAAAAATGCGAATTTTGACGTGGAATATTAATGGTGTCAGAGCTACGAAGGCTCCTCTAAAGCAGGTGCTTGATTCTCTGGATGCAGATATCGTGTGTCTACAAGAGACCAAAGTCACACGTAAGTCAAATTGGATTTTAAATTGTATATAAGAAGGGGGTGGGAGGGGGGTGTTGACATCCGGACATAAAATAACGTAAATTGAAAATCATATACATGTACATCCAGCGAGGCACCGCTGAATTGAATGCTAGCCCACCTGTCTTCACCCCTAAAGTTGCCTGCTGACGATTTTAAGAATCCCTTTTTGTGTTGTAAAAAGCTCAAGTTGTGAACGGTTTCACTTTTCACAGACACACTTTCACTTTTCAAATTTATTGCCATACACCTATCAGTAGAGCATTTTTGAACTACATCTATATTGAGTCAAGGCTAACCATGATAGCCATCTAACAGTGTTAGATGACAAGTTCAATTTTCTTTACTATGACATACCAACACATATAACGTTATACATGTAACGTTACTTTCATGTATTGTCTGGATCATGTGTTCACATGATAGGAGACCAGTTGGACGAGGCATCAGCCATTGTGGAGGGATACAGTTCTTACTTCTCCTTCTCTAGAGTCAGGAGTGGGTACTCAGGTAAGAAATCCAGGTTTAACATTCTCCCTGCTGCCTAACCTTGTAACAAATACAGATCTGGTGCCAAAAGGCTCCTTCAGCAGAAACCTATAAGATAATCCTTTGAAGGCTTATTGCTTGTACAGTGTCAAAGAAAGCTACAAATAATAGTATAGCAATAGAGAACATACAACTACTGTCTGATCAACATATAATAGAGACCATACAACTACTGATCAATTATAGTATTATGAGTATTATAACAACTCTAAATACGTCACGGAGGTATGAATTTTTTTTTATCCTGACTGTTCTATGTCATTATGTAACCCTGTATAAGGTGTTGCCACATACTGTAAGGATGGAGCCATGCCTATGAAGGCAGAGGAGGGACTGACAGGACTTCTGACCAATCAGAAGGAAGCAGACATCATTGGTTACTATGGAGACCAGACCATGTTCACAGAAGAAGAACTTCGTTCATTGGACAAGGAAGGGAGAGCTGTCATAACCCAGCATGCCATATGGTGAAAAAAAATTACCAAATTTACCTCGAAAGTTCATCGTTTGCTCTGATGTTGATGGGCTCTTTTATTTGTTGTCTTGTTATTACTTTCAAAATGTAAAGGTCAAAAATCCTTCCAAAACTGCCCCTTGGTGCATTTTTACTGATTTTCATATCAAAAGTTGTTTATGATAATTTCAGTGATACTAATGGCAAAGAGCGCCTCCTGGCAGTCATCAACGTGTACTGCCCCCGAGCAGACCCTGAGAAGGAGGAGAGAAAGGACTTCAAGCTGAGGTTCTACAGGCTACTACAGGCCAGGGCACAGGCTTTAGTACAGGCTGGCAGGTTAGTTAGAACAGGCTGTTACAGGCCAGGGCACAGGCTTTACTACAGGCTGGCAGGTTAGCTATTAGCAGGGATGCTATCCTTGTTAGTAGCTTTTGTTGTACCAAACACATGTACTATAAATCTTGAAATCTTCACAGAGGCTTTCTTTTTGTGATAAGCTCTCCACAGCAATACATGTATATGTTTCCAATGTACTACTACTGTACTCCAGAATTCTTTCAACATGAAATGTGAAAAGGCTCTTCCTTCCACTTCTACTACAAAATTAAGTTCCAGCAGAAATTTAAAAAAAATGTACAGTATACATTTTTGAATACGTCGATGAAGGTTAGACATCCAGGTAATACGATATGCCAAAAAACAGTTACTCAAGCAACTGGATATGATTTTGAAAACGTCAGACGTTTCAGCTAGTATCCACTAGCTTTCGTCAGTGACTGAGAGACCAGAGGGGAAAGCAGGTTTATATACACAACCTGTTTTGTCTTCACTTTATTTGCATATCAATCAACAGGTTGTGTAT